TTTAATAATTAATTTTGTATTAAATTTTACGATCGTTTTTAATTATTTTTATTAAGAACTTATTTAATAAAATTACGATTAATTACTAAAGCTTTATTTATTTTATAATTCATAAACAATAGCTTTTTTAAAATTATTTTAATAACGATTACTATTTATAAATATCGTAGCCCCGACTTTTATTAATATAAACTTTATTATAACTAATCAATTATAATATTTTTATTACTTTTATTTAATAAGTCGACTTTATAAAAACTTATTAAATAGTACAAACGATATTTATTTAATTTCTTTTTATTAAAAGTAAAAAACCCTAGGCTTTAAATACCGAACTCGCTTAAACCGAAAAAGATTTAAAAATACCTCATATTAAATATAATTTTAATAAAAATACGGTCTTTAATAAAATAATATATGTTTAAATACGCCGCGTCGTTAATTAAAATATTTAATATAATAAGGAATTAACAGACCTCCTTAATATTGTTACTACTTAATTAACAAAAGCTTCAGTTAAAAACAATTACGATATTACTTATATATAAAGATTATTTAACGTTACGTTCGAAAGACTTAATATTAAATATAATAAGGTTTTAAAATTCGCTAAATAAATAAGTACACCGCTAATATCGTTACTACCCTTTTTAATAAAAAGTAATAAAAACTTAAATTTAATATATTTATTATTTTTGACGGTACCTTCAGAATTTTAAAAGGATTTTTAATTTAAATTAAAAACTTTTAAAATTTTTATTAAAAAGATTTTAATAATAAAATCGAGAAGGTTATATATGCCGCTAGCTTTTTTAAAAAACGAGTTTTTAAATAATTCAAACCTTTTTAAAAAGAATATTTTAAAGAAAAGATTTTAATAAATATTTTATTAAAATACGAGATATTTATTATAATTTAAAAAAGTTTAAAAAAGCTTTTAAATCGCTTTTTTAAGATTTAAATAAGAAATAATAAACTAAACGTAATATATTATAATTTTAATAAACCAAATTAATAAAGGACTATTTAGCTTAGTTTAGGCGACTTAATATTTAATTTAATCTTATTAACGATACTTAAATTTTTATATTTTATTAAGGATTAAAAGATAAAATTAAGGACGAACTTATTAAAATCGATAAATTAAACGAATTTTTTTAATATACTAAACTCGTAATTAAAATCAATAACTACTTTTATAAAAAAAAAAAAGGAAAGGAAAAAATAATAATAAAAACTTAATTTAAAACGTAAATATTAATAATAACTTTAATATAATTTTAATTAAAAACACCGTTATAATAGGAATAATAATCCTTAATAAACTATTATTTATAAATAATATAGCGGATTTATAAACCTTAATATAACAAAACGAGATTAATCTTATTAAAAAAAAGAATTTAAATATTATAATTACAATAAGTTAAGATATATAGCTAAAGATTATAAATAGCTTAAATAAATTTAATAACGACTTATCTTTAAAAAATAAATTAATATTATTTTGAAAAAAGGATTTTATAAATTACTTTTTTAGACCGTATATTATAATAATAATTACTTTACTTATTAAGATATTAAAAAATAATTAAAATAGTATTTTAAAAAACCCTTTAATAAAACCCTTATTATAACAAATAAATAAAAAATAGCTGAACGTTTTAAGATTATTAAAGATTATAATAAAGAATATATCTAAATATTATTAATAATATACGAAGTAATTGAAATATAACTTATTAACTTTCCCGAGCGAGCGTAAACCCTTATAATAATAAGAAATAAATTAAAAAAAAAGATAATAATTAAAAATAAAGACGACTTATTTTAACTAAAAAACGAAATCCTAGCTCGTAAAATATAAATCTCAAGTAAAATTATTTATATAATACAACGAGTACTTAATAAAATAATTTAATATTATAAACAACGTTTTCTAATAATAAAAGATTATAACGAAAACTATATTTATATCTTAATTAATTATTATAAAGCCGGTCGGTCGATTAAATAACTAAATATAAAAGTAATATTCGCTTTATTTTAATAACGATTTTAAAAATAACTAAAAGCTAAGATAAAAAAAAACCTCTTTTAGTTAAAAAATGAGATCGATAAGGAAATAAATTTAATTTATAGACCTTAGATATTAAAAAAACGTTATTAATAACGTATTAAAGAACTAAGCGAGGCTTATTATACAATAGACGCTTATATTTCCTAATATTTAATTATAAAAATAGTCTTTATTATTTTATAATAACGAATAAATAAATAACTTAAAATAATAACAAAGGACGATATACTCCGTTTAAAATAAAACTTTCTTATACTTAAAAAGACTATAGAACTAAATAACTTTAATAAAAAAACTATTAATAATATATCTATGGAATTTAATATTAAAATATTTAAAAATTATAAATTATTTTTTAAAAAGAGAAAACCTATTAATAAAGAAATAAATAATATCCATAATATTATTAATATATTATATTTATTTATTAAAAAATAAAAGCGTCCCGACTTAGTAACTAATTATAAACGATTTATAAAAAAAAGATAAATATTAACTTTTCAAATATTAAAAAACTAAATATATTAATTATAAAAGAATAACGAAAGGCGGCTAAAATAAATAAGTTTTTTATATTTTATAATACTTTTTAATAAAGAATATTTACAAGTTAAATTTTAGATAAACGGATATAATATAAGCGCTATTATTAATAATAGCGCTTAAAGAATTTTTATTTTATTAAAAACGATAAATAAATATAATTTATTATAAATTCGGAAAATAAAACCGTATATTTTATAAACAATAAAAAAAGAATAAGTTAAGTATAATAATAAATATATTAATTAAGAGACGATATACCTTATAATATATATTAATAATTAATTAAAATAATTAAAATATAAGATTATAAAGATCGGAAATACCGATATTATTTTAAAAATCTCGTAATTACGAAAATATAATTTATAAATAAATTAAAAAACCGGTTAACTTTATTAAATAAACTTAATTATTAAACGACTTAAGGAAAAAGGTTTAAACGAGTTTTATATAATATTCAATAAACGAAAATAAATTAAATATATCGCTTTTATTAAAACGATAAAACTGATTAAGATATTCGTATTTAATACGGACGATTAAAAATCGAACTTATTTTAAACTATACCTAAGGAGTATCGGATTTATATAAAACTATTCGTTTTAAAAAAAAATAAGATTATTAAAATATAATAATTAGGATATAGAAATCGAATTAAAAAAAGGAATATAATTTAAGTTTTATTTATTATATTTTATAAATTAATTCGAACGCGATAAACTTAATAAGTATATTAATAATAAACTTAAAAAGGGTTATATTAAACTATTATCCTCTTTAGTAAAAATACTAATCTTTTTATATTTGAAAAAAGTAAAAAAAAGCTTAGATTTATAATCGATTATAAAAGACTTAACGAAATTACTAAAAGAAATTATTATTTATTATTTTTTATCGTAGAACTTAAGGAAATATTATATAAAGCTTAATAATTTACTATAATAAACCTTAAAAGAGTATTTAATTAAATTGAAATTAAAAAAAAACGAATAAAGACGGTATTCCGAATTTATAAAGGACTTTATAAATATTTAATTATACTTTTTAAATTTATTAACGCACTTACTATATTTTAAATAATAATTAATTACGTATTTAAGGAATACGTTAACATTTTCGTAATAATTTATCTCGATAATATCCTTATTTTTTTTTAATTTTAAAATATAAAAAAAATATATTTATGTAGTATTTTAGAAATTTTAAAACGTAAAGCTCTCCGCTAAGCTTAATAAATATAAATTTTATATATAAAAAATAAACTTCCTCGGTTATATAATTATATTAAAATAAATTTATATATAAATATTTAAAATAATAGTAATTAAGGATTAGCTTATACTTATTAATATTAAAAACGTATAATGATTTTTAAGATTTATTAATTTTTATTACCGATTTTTTAAAAATTATATTAGTATTATTAAACCTTTTAATAATTTAATAAAGAAAGATATAACCTTTATTTAAAATAAAAAGTATAAAAAAGTTTTTAATAAAATTAAGGATTTAATTATTTTAAAATTAATAATTACGATCTTAAATTTAAAAAAACTATTTAAAATCGAGACCAACGCTTCGGATTTTATTATAAAAGCTATTTTAAAATAATAAAATTAATAAAAAATATTTTATTTTTATATGTTTTATTTTAAAATATTTTATAAAATAAAACTAAATTAGTAAATTTATAATAAAGAATTAATAGTTATAATCGAAACTTTTAAAAAATAAAAACTATAGTTTTTAAATATTAAATATAAAGTTATTATTTATATAAGTTATAAAAACCTTATAAACTTTATAATAAATAAAAATTTAAATAAATAATAAATTAAATAGAGCGAATTCTTATCCGAATTTAATTTCCGAATTATTTATTAAAAAAGTTTAAAAAATAATAAAATAAACGCTTTTAATAAACGATTTAATTACGAAATTACAATCCTTAAAAAAATATAAATAATCTTTAAATACGACGATAATAATAATCTTATACTTATTATAAAACTCTTTATAATAATTAAAAAAGTTAATATTAGCCCGTTTAGAAAAATAACTCTTAAGCTTATTATAAAAGTTTATAATATTTAAATATATAGTTATTAAAATATTATAAAAATATAGAAACGGATTCGTTAATATTATAATAAATCCGCTATAAAAACAAAAGTCGCTAAGGCTATTAAAAATTATAATATTTATAAAAAAAATAAAAATAGCCCTTATAAACCTTATAAAAAGCTATAACTATTATTAATATTACTAAAAGTATAATATTTAATCTCTTAAGATTTTATTATTAAACTATTAAAGTCTAAGGAACTATTTACGAATATATAATATAATAATATCTTAATTATTATTAACCGACTTATTAAATTTATTTATTTTATATTATATAAAAAAGCAAATAATACTAAGGAATTAATATATACTTTTTTGAAAATAATTATTATTAACTACGGTTTGCCTAAGGAAATAGTTTCCGATAAAAAGAAATTATTTATTATTAAGTTTTAGAGATTTTTAATTTCGTAACTTACGCTATTTAAATATTTTAAAAACTTAGGTTTTAAATACCTTTAGGTAGTAAACTAAGTTATTAAATATCTGTTGCAGGCCAGGAGCGTAGAAACGTAGTTCTTATAGTCTAAAGTGCTTGTCCTTCTGAGAGGATCTTCTATGGACCGATTGGGTAGATATACCGGCTGAGGGCGCCCAGGAAGTGGGTTGGTGGGCGCACTTAAGCGGGTACCACCTCAGCCACACGTGGCTGTGCGCTGGACCTCCTGCGACAATATCTATATAAGATACGCTACTTAGCGATTTATTATAGCATATAAAGGGGTAAAATAAACTAAAAACTTAACCGTAGTTTATTTTTATTTATAGCCGGTAATGCCTTATTTATAAATAACGAAGCTATAAAAAGGTCGTTATAAAAATATATTATAATATTTTTTAATAACTTAATTTAGTAAAAGGCGTTTAAATAATCAATAATAATAACTTTTATAATTAAAATAAAACTTTTTTATTTATAAGAAACTATTAAAAGAATAATAGCGCTGCGAAGACTTTTTTATAACTTTGTATTTAATTTAAAAGCTTTTTATATAGTTTATTACGATAATAAATAGATAATTAAATTAATAATAATAGATACGGAAAAGGTTTTTATATATTTACGTTATATAAATATTTAAAATATATAGTTTTATTAAAAATACGTTATTAACCGTTTAGAAATTATATATATAATTATAAAAAATATATTAATAAACGGTTTTATAAAAAACTTCATTAAAAAAAAGTTTTTAAATTTTAAAATTTATTTAAATTTAATAACCGTATAAAGAATAGTTATGAAAAAGATATAAATATAAGAAATTAATAATTTAATTATTATCTAAATTTTAAAAAATATTTATTAAAAAGTAATTTATTTTATAAAATTATATTAAATAAAAATTAATAACCTTATAGGGCTATATTAAAAAATAAAAATAATAAAAACGAAAATAATAGCTTTAAAAGGCGTATTTAATTATTATTATTAACGACGGTATAAATAAAAGATTTATTTTTTAAAAATATTAAAAATATAACGGCCTTTAATAATAAAATTAATAAAATATATAAAAAAGTTATTATTATTATTTTATTAAAAAGCACCGTTTATAATAATAAATTTAACTTTTTTTTAATTTTTTTAAAAATAAGAGAGGATTTAAAGCCTTTGGCTTTATAAATAATAAAATAGGTATAAATAAGAGTTTAATATTATTAATTAAAAGCTTATAAAACGGATTTTTAAAAATTTATATAAGAATTAATAAAAGGGTCGTTAATTAAAAAACTTATTAAATAAATTATAAAAAAGCGGATATTAAATAAAATAATAATATAAATATAACCGTTTTAAAAATATTTAATATATTTATTTTTAATATAAAAAGCCTTTTTTATAATAAATAAACGTATATAATACGTTTTAATACTTTTATTAAATTTTATTAAAATAAAATAAAAAAAATAAAAAGCGGGATTTAAAATATTAAACTTTTTTTTTATACTTTTTTTTATTATAATAATTTTATTTTTAATTTTATTTTTAAATATAACCGTAAATAAAGCCGTATTAATTTTAAATTTAATTAAAAATTTAACCGTTTTAATAAAAGTAATATAAATATTAATATTTTTTTTATAAACTATTTAAATATATTAAAAATAACGTTTTAGAAAATTTTAAAATTTTTTTTTATAAACCTTAATAACGGTTTTTTTTAAAAAAATATTATTAAAAACGGCTTTATAACTTATTTTTTTAACTTATTATTTAAATTTTAAATAAAAACTCCTTTTTTTTAAAATTAATAAAATAAAGATTATTAAAATTTTATAATTTCTTTTTCTTTTTTCTTTTTTTTTAAAATCCTTAAGGCCTTTATTAATAAGCTTATTAGCCTTTTTTTTAATAACGGCCTTAGCGGCGGTATTAATAGCTTTTTTAATAACGGCGACGTTAATAATATATTTAGTAATAATAGCGGCGTAAATAATAACTTTCTTAGCCTTAACGGCGTAAGTAGTTTAGGCGCGCTTAGCGGCGGCTTATTTAATAAAAGTAATATCGGCTATTATATATATATATATTTAATTACTATATTATAATTTATTAATATTAAAAAAGGGTTATATAAGGCTAAAAACTAACTTAAAAAACTTATAAAAACGATTTATAAAAAAGTTAAAAAAAAAAAAGATTTAATAAAAGGGCGAGTAATAAAAGAAAAGTATTTTTATTATTTATTGACCTACCTAAATAATAATTTAATAACCGACCTTACGATAATTTATTTATTAATAAATATATATAATAACAATAATAATACGTTTATACGGGTATATTATAATATTATTATTTATAAAATAGCGTAGGATTATTATTTTTAACGAGTTTTTTTTATTAAACCTATTTTTTTTATTAATTTTTTTTATATTTATTTAAAAAGGATATTAAAAGGATATATATATACGATTTAGTTATAAATAATTTTATAATTAGGGGGGTATATTATAAAAGGTCTAGTATATAGCTAAGTATAGCTAAGGTAATACCTACTTAAATACGCTTACTAACCTATTTTTTTAAGCGCTTTTAAACAGTATATTTATTTAATTAATTTATAAAATATCCTTTTAGAAAGATAAGTACTTTAGATTATAAGAATTACGTTTCTATGCTCCTGGCTTGCTACAAATACTTAAGTATATTATTATAATTTTTAAACTTTTATAAACTAATATAATTAACATAAAATAAAGAATATTAATATAATTTAAAAATAATGAATATAACGACCGACGGAGCGGTAAAAATACGCCTAAATCTTTTAATTAAATAAGTATAAATATTAACGAATTATAAAGATTATTTATTATAATAAGCTAAGGTTAACGCTTTGCTAATAAAAGGACGGTTAGAAAAACGCCTTATTTAATAAATAAAAAAATATTAAAAGTTAACGAAAATCTAATTAACGACCTTATTATTTAATATTAATACGATATTAAAAACCTTAATAATAAACACGCCTTATAAAGCGCTTCGTTATTACCTTAGTAAAATAATATAGAAGACGGTATTATATTAAAAACCTAGATAATAAACTAAAATATGACTATTTTATAACTTATAATAATATTAAAAAAAGAACGTAAGGATTTTTATAAATCGATCGTTAAAATTATAATTATTTAATTTATTAAAAAGGAAAAATAAAAAAAAATATTAAACCTTTTTAATTATAATTATTACCTTTTTAATCAAAATACGGCGATAATATAAATAAATAATTAAATTAAAATTATTAAAAAAGCGAACGACTTTTATTTTAAAGCTTCGGCGGGATATAAAATCGAATAGGCCCTATTTAAAATCACTTTAATAATCTAAATTTAATAAAGAAAATATTAAATAAGCTTTTTAAAAAAAAACTACTTCAAAAATATTTTTAATTTTTATTCGCTAAAAATATATTAATTTTAAAATATAAAAAAGGAATATAAAAAAGTATTATAAAAAATAAAAAGAAAACACGCTATTTTAATTCTTTATTAAATAAAATACGATATATAATAATTTAAATATATATATTAATATAAATAAAAAAAAACTTATAATTATTTTTTTAGACTTCTTTTTAAATTATAAAAGAAGATAATTAAGCATTAAGTCTTTATTAACGAATTTAAATTAATCGTTTATAAAGTAAAACGACTTTATATACTATATATAAATTAATTTAATAATATATTATAAAGTAAAAGTAAAAAGAAATTAAAAAAAAACGTCGAGTTTTTAAAAAAACTTATACCGTTTTAAAAGTCGGTTTTTATAACATCGTCTTTATGACGCTTTATTATTTTTAATAAAACTTACTATTTTTAAAGATATTTTATTAAATAATTAATAAACCGGACGGCTACGCTATAGACTATTTTAATTATTTATTATAAATATAAAAAATAAAAATATATTATATGAAATTATTTTAATATTCTAAATAGTACGTTAATCGGCCTATAATAAGATATCCTTAAGGCTTTAATAAACGTAATTTAAATAAAATTACGATATACTAATTAAAATAATTTAAAAAATAAATAAATATAGGCCGGTTTTTAATATTATTTATATTAAAAACGGAATTAATACTTATTAAGGCTACGGCCTAAGGCCGCGCGCTTATATTATAAAGCCTTTCTAAAAAAAAAGTTATTATAAATATAAATAATTATTCCTAAGTCGATTTAATTAATACTTAATTAATTAAAAAGCTAAGTTTTAAATTAATATATATAAAAGCCCGTTTTTTATACGGATTTAACAGTGAAAAAAAGAAAATAAAAAATATATATTAACTAACGTTTTTTTTAATAAATTTAAAAAAAAAGTAAAAGAAATACGCCGATTATTCATAAATACCCTTTAGTTTGTAAAAGTAAATAACTTTTTTTTATTATAACGATCGATAAAGTTAAAAAATATAATAATTAAAACTAAAATTAATATATAATATTATAACCGTATTTCAATTATAAAATTTATGACGTTTATATAAAAGCTTATAAAAAATAAAAAAACGGTATACGTCCTCAATATAAATAAAATAGTCGTAAATATAAAAGCCTTTATAAAATCTTTTTAAAAAAAACAAAATTATTAAAAATTAACTTTTTAATTAAATTTATAAATAAATAAAAAACGTTTAATAAAGATATGGCGACGAACTCGTTTATTTTTAAAAAAAAGTAGAATATATTATGAATTTTTAAAAAAGACAAAAACTATTTTACGGCTTAATATACTTTTCAAATAAATAATAGTTTATTAAGTTTTATAAATATATTATTAAAAATATAACGAACGATAAATTCGTTTTATTTGTAAATAAAACGAATGCTTTTATTATATTTATATTTTAAAAAGACGGTATTTTAAAGCTAATTGT